CCACTACTCCTATTACCTGCCCTCCACTATTCAGCTGGAACAGAAAAACATACCTCTCTGTTATTTTCTACATAAAAATGTAGCCTTCTCTGACCAGAGGTCTAGCGCTTGATTATTTGAGTGCCCAGATCTCCAATCCTTGTTCTTACGAATTTCGATACATGTTCATTAAAAGGTTACAGTACTATTAAGTGTGTCTCATTCTACTTCATGTTGTCCAAGTTGAGAATGTAATAAACCAGCTTATTTGATGTGTAAAAAAGATGTGATTCTTTCACACAGTTTTAAAATTGTATCATCAACTGTAGTTTAATTTACAGAAAGAGGAACAATAAAAGTTCTCCACAGAAACCACTAGTTTTACTTCCAGGGAACTCCACCCCCCACCCCCAGTTTTCTGGACTGTCAAGAAGAAAAAAGTTCAGTTTAAAACTGCACCATCACCCAATGTTTGTTACCTAAAGTTAACTACATATGACAAACTGAAGTTGAACCAATTTTCTACAAAGTTTACACGAAAATATTTAATCTGCAGATATAAATAGGAAAAGAACCCAGCCCACCTTTGCTTCTCAAGAGAAAACATCCAGCATTATGCTACCATGTCCTTTGCTTTATTGTTGTAACGTTCTCTGTAAAGTACTTTCCTTAAAGATGATCCAAAAGCTACACCTAGGGTGAAATATTGCTGTCTGTTGACAAAGGCAACAGGAGACAAATATATCACTCCAATTTTGAAATTTCTGCAAGGACTGTTTGTGAGTTAGCAGGCCCAAATCAAGGTGATATTCCAGTGTTATGTTATGTGCTGTCAAATCAGAAACCATTTATAGAGAGACTAACAGGGCTTTCAAGGTAAGTGAGATATTTTACACTTCCAACCCCCTCCCTGAGTTTCCAGGGCCGAGCATGGATTTCAACCGAGGTCTCCTAAGCTTTAATCTGTCACTCTATCCACTACACTACATAAGTTTCCAGGGCTGAGCATGGATTTCAACCGAGGTCTCCTAAACTTTAATCTGTCACTCAATCCACTACACTACATTTCATATCTACTATAACCATGTATGGCGCTCTAAATGTCTCAAGACTAAATACTTCAAGGCTCACATTGTGCAGTACTGATTGGTTCATGATTTAAAATTGACTGGGTAGGCTCTCCTTACAGTGTACTTGATAACGGTAGCCTATCGGGAAAGCACACTTGCATCTTCGCAGTGATGGTATTCTGGCTATGAAACTCCCTGCTGATTGGCATCTGTTTGTCCCTCACCCTGTTGTCATTTAAGTACCACATGAAAATGTATACATTTATCAAACTGATGAGCGGGAAGGTAGGCAAGCAAGAACATTTTTGCTTGTCCCTCACCCTGTTGTCATTTAAGTACCATTTGAAAATGTATACATTTATCAAACTGAAGGTAGGCAAGCAAGAACATTTTTGCTTAGCAATTAATCCTTACTGATGGATTTACTCATTATCTCTGATTTCAGAATGATGGTTTTCAGTGGTATTTGTGTGTTAGTGGCCCAGAAGTCTTTTGGAGCAGGTTTTAGATTGCACATAGGACAGCAGGAGAAGAAAATTTGGGGTACTGTTGTTGCTGAAGAAAATAAGTTGCTGCTGCACTCACAGACACCTACTAGTCTGACCATGGATTTAATCTGATACCACAATCAGCATGCTCTGTACACATGCAAAAGAGCAACACAGAGCATTCAAAAAACAAGCAACATTAATGATAAGCTGTATCACTCTCTGAAAATATTTAGTGAATGCCCTCTTTCTAAAGAAAAAGAAGTGGAAGGAATGTTCTTGTTCTTTGGGCCAAGTATTTCCTTGCAGCAACACTCAAACATCAACACCAGAGCTCCCAAATGTGTTGGATTACAACTCCCAAACTACCTGATGACTGGGGTTTCTGGGAATGGTAGTCCAACACATCTGAAGGAGCAAGCATTGAGACACTACACTAGATCCACCTTTTTATTTTTAAGAAGAAAGGTGGGATGGAAATATTTTAAATAAATAAACAGAACACATATGAAGCCCCATACATTAGTCAAACTACATCCTATTGATACAAATGTTTCTAAAGTCAAGGAAAGGCTCACTTTCCATCCCAACAGAAACTAAAATTCATCCATGTGTTTTAGACTTAAAGCAAAACTACACTCTGTTAAGAAGTTGTAGTTGTTTTACACTAAGCATCTAAAGTGTCTACCTTTAATTAAAATAATGCTTTACTAGATCAGGCAAGGCCTCAACCAATAAGCAAGCCCCATCCAGTCTAGCCTTCTTTCCAAGAAAGTTATCAGATGAACAGTTTACCAATAAACCATGTCTCACCTACTAGTCTCGAGGCTACTGCACACAGTTGGACTCAGTGAATAAAAAGAAATGGAGTTACAGTCATCTCAGTAATACATATCTTTTACCCATTCAGCCTAAAAAATTGGTGTCCAAATGCATGTGTCAGATTAGGGCAGTCTATGAGTTTTAGCAGGCACAGTTCATTGCTATTAAAGAAAATAAGCTCACAATGCAGTAGCTTCCTAAATGTATTTAATAAACACAAACACAAAGACAATATACAGTATTGAAGTCACTCAATCTTAGTCTCACAGTCTGTTTTAATATTCACTGCTTACCTTATCTAGTGCTACTGCTCACTGGATACAACAGGTTAGCAACTCTTTCATATTTGAACCATTTAAGATGATTAGAAATATTTACGAATACGTGCAACCTTGTCAAAGATTAAGTTAATACTAATAATGCGTTATAATTTAATATAATACTTTTAATGCCCTACTGACACAAAATAATAAAACTAAACATCTCCAAAATGCATTCAAAACATATTTGTCCCTTCTTCCAGGCATGATCCAAGCAACTGGTAAAGAAGGTAAAAGTATATATCTACAGGGAAAATTCATTAGACTCTGCTGACCTCTCATGCCACAGACTAGGAAGCAGATTCTAGGCCTATGAAGAAGCAGAATTATTATCACAGAGAAGTATATTATGGTTTAATGCATCTCTCCATTATACTGGGAACAACAGCGCACTGCAGCACAAAGTCTACCAAGTGTACTAACAGCGCAGTCTGCGAGAGCAATATGTTAGTTTTTCTCTAATGGACAATACCATCATCCATACCTTGGCCATACAGCAGTGACACACTACTGCAATCAGGAAAATATTGCATCTTCTGCTTGTTATAAGGATGCAGTCAGCTACCACCAAAGCCCTTAATGGGCCAACTTCTACATAGATAACCAAGTTAATGATCTGCCTAAACTGAGGTTGCATACTCTGCAACTGCCCTCATTGTGGAAGCATTTCTTATCCTCTCCTAAACAGATTTCCATCAGCAACTCAACCCCGCCTCCCATTGTTGCTGCTTCTTTAAATACAAAGGCCACTTTGACCTAAAAAAAGACTGAACTGAGTGCAACTCACCCAACCAAACTTGGTCTGTCCAACAGAACACCAATAGGATCAAACTGCCTTATACATATGTGCCTGCTACTTAACTCACTTCTATGTAAGCACACTCAGGCCACAGTATTAAGTGACTGTAACTGCCTATAAGGAAAAACAGTCAGGGCAGAAGAAAGAAAGGCACTCATATGATATCGCCATGTCAATTAAGTAACCAGGGTTTTAATCCTTCATTACATGACCTATAGATTCACAAACAAGACAGAAAGAGATCCTGATTTATAAAATTTGATTTAAACATAATCAAATAGCATTATATTTACAAGTAACTGTTCCACCTCTGTTTCACCCTTCCTGGAAAAGACCAGTCAGTCAGAACACTTGGATAACCACTGAGTTTTGGCTGAACTCAGAATTACTCAACTTAATCTACATGAGGCACCCAAAAACCATTCTCTGAGTGTACAATAACCTTGCATTTTTATAGCACCAATAATTAATATGTCATGTCCTAAAATCTTGCAAAACAAAAAAAAAGCACAGGAACTCATCTGCAAAGCAAAGTAAGGTAGAGGTAGGACCATTAAGTATTCCCCTCCTTCGCCAATTTCCTGGGCAGGGAGAACACCCTGCTCTTTCAAATGGGCACACCCACAAAGCATCCAGATCATAGCAGCTGCAAGGAGAAAGTTGAGGCCTGAGGAGCCCCTGGCCTTGCCCATCTCAAGCAGTTGTGGGAAAAACAGGGAGTGTGGGATCTTCCAAAAGACTAAGGCCTGGCCCTCCGTGATCCTTCTCCAGAGTTGCTTCATCCACATTGCAAAAGGAGGATACTGACATGGGCGAAGCTGCTTCAGGCTCAGCCCCACCCATCCTCTCCACACTCCAACCAGCTGGTTTATGTACAGGCAGCAGATTTCAGCCATGAAATCCCTTCCTGGCTACTCCAATGTGCAGCCTACAGGTGAGGAGTCTCGTGTCTCAAAACTGCCCTACCCAAAGGGAGGGTTGCGAGGGAAGAGGGAGAAACCCCTGCCTTTCCGAGCACAAAGATGATGCCTATAGATGCTGAGAAGGATCCCTGGCCTGCTGTTTTCTCTCTTCCTATGCATTCGGCCTCCCTACCCCATCCCGAGGCGCAACACTCCGCCCGCGTCTACTCCTCCCAGACGCAGGGAGGGGAGGACCGGGTGCGAACCATACCTTCCTCTGCGGCGCCCCTTTCCACCCGGAGGCGACCCACAGCATCCTTTTGCGATCCGGTTGCAAGCGCCAGCCCTAATTCCCCTAGGCAGGCGAAAGGGGGCGGCGAGGGGCGTCATAACAACAGTTGCCCCCCCCAAAAAAAACAACCTGTCTCTCACACACACACACACACACACACACACACACACACACACACCCTGGGGCCCTAAAGGGTGGGGCAGAGAAAGAAGCTGGCGGGGTTCTTCCCCCTCCCTTTCTGGGCAAGGGAAAAAGAAGGGGCCTTGGCGGGGCCCAGGGGGAAGGGTGGGGTGGTGGCTTGGGGGGGGGGACTCTCTCTCTCACTCACCGCGATGACGTTGACGAAGGTGGTCTTGCCCGAGTATTGCAGCCCCACCAGCGTCAGTTCCATCTCCTCCTTCCAGAACAGCGACCGGAACCAGTCCAGGAGCCGAGACAACAACGCCAGCATGGTGGTGGTGGCGGTGGCGGCGGTGGGGACACCAGCAGCGACTACAGCCCCGGCCGCGTCTCTCTCTCTCTCTCTCCCTGTCTGGGCCTCCCGGGGCGGCGGTGGCGGCGTCTTCTCCTCCTTCCCCGTCTCGCCCTCCTTCCCTCCCCGTCGCGACGGTGCCTCGGCCCGACTCCTCTCCGGCAACCACTCGCTCTCTCCGCCTCGTGGGTCATATGACGGCTCGCCTTGCTGAAGGGCAAGAGCGGGCTCGCCTTGCCGGCAGCCTTGAGGCTCCCGACTCACAGCGGCCCCTGCCGGAAAAAGCGGCGCTTGACAGGCGGGGAGGACTGAGCAGGGAGGGTGGGTCGGTCCACCAGGAGAAAGCGAGGCAGGCGGCTGGGTTATCTTGGTGCGCTGGGTGGCTGGAGGTCTCATTCCGGGTGTGTTTTATGTCAGCGCTCAAACCTGAATCATAAGATAGTAGAGTTGGAAGGGGCCTAAAAGGCCACGGAGTCCAACTCCTTGCTCGATGCAGGGATCCAAATCAAAGCAGCTCTGACAGACCGTTGTCCCATTTTCTTGAATACCTCCAGTTGTTGGAGTGTTCACCACCTCTCTGGGTAATTGGTTCCATTGTCGTACTGCTCTAACAGTTAAGAAGTTTTCCTTGATAGCCTAAATCTGGCTTCCTTTAGCTTAGGCTCATTCCTGCACTCTGAGATGCTGGAGAACAGATCCTGCACCTCCTCTATATAGACTATCTTTCAAGTATTTGAAAGGTGCTGTATTGTAGCATAGTACAATAAATGTAGGCAGGGAGGGAGAAGAGAAAAGGCAAAGTCCTCCAACAGTTGGTTGTTGTGGGTTTTTCGGGCTCTTTGGCTGTGTTCTGAAGGTTGTTCTTCCTAACGTTTCTCCAGTCTCTGTGGCCGGCATCTACGGAGGACAGCACTCTGAAGATGCCGGCCACAGAGACTGGCGAAAACGTTAGGACATAAAAGAACAACCTTCAGAACACGGCCAAAGAGCCTGAAAAACCCACAACAACCATTAGATCCCGGCCGTGAAAGCCTTCGTGAATACATCCTCCAACAGTCCTTAAAAATACATTTCAAATGGAGCAGGAAATAGTTTGGGTAACCTGAAGGCATGGCACCAGTGTTGAAAGCTAACGGAGACATGCAGACAGCTGGCCAGTCTCTCAGTAGGGCATATGGTCTAACTAAAGCTTGAAAAGTGGCTTTCTTGAACTATAGTTTCCACAATCACTTGTGGACTTGAAACACTGTGTACAGTTCAAGGTTGCTGTACCTCCTAAAGGACATCATAGTAGAGCTGGGAAAGGTACCAAAAAATACGAACCACGGTGGTGAAGAGGCTTGGTGTAACTGCCATGTGAGGAAAGATTATAACGGTTGGGACTGCTGTAGTTTAGAATAAGGTGATGAAGTGAGAGGCATACTAGATGTGGTGGAGAAAGTGGGTAAGTAGAAGCATCTCTTTCATCATTTTACTTTACCAACAGAAGTTGAACAGTGGGAGATTTGAGACAGATAAAAAGGAGGTCAGTTACTCCTGCCACTTTTTTTTCACACGACACATATCCTGTTTCCCCGAAAATAAGCCATAATATGATTTTTCAGAATGCTCATAATATATGCCCTACCCCAAAAATAAGTCCTAGTTAATTGAAACCCTGCCCTCTACCATTATGCAGCAACCAGAAGATGACATGGCTGTAAAATAAAACATCCCCTGAAAATAAGCCCTAATGGTTTTTTTTGGAACAAAATTAATATAAGACCCTGTTTTATTTTTGGGGAAACACGGTAGTAACAAATGGACCTTGCTACCGTAAATAAGAATCACTGATGGCTGATTCTTAGAGGAGGGATTTTAGACAGGATTAGATGAATTCATGACGGACAGAAGCACCAGTGACTGCTAGCTAGGACTGGACTGGGTATCGGCAGGTAGCTATAGCTACAATTCACACATCAATGTGGTAGAGTGGATAGAATGTTGGACTAGAATTCTGGAAACCTGGGTTCAAATTCCTACTTGTTCGTGAAAACACAATGGAGTGGTGGTAGGGTAGCAACGGTAAAGCACTTCTAGAGTATTTAACATGTCTCAAAACTATTAAATGTCCATGCACTGGGAGTGGCTTGATGGCATATAACAGCAACGCAGAATTCACAAATGATTTCAAGAGATAGGTAGGATTTTGAGGTGCAAGACCCTCTTCCAAGGCAAGCATTGAAGCAGGTTTCAACTCTCAGTCCAGACAGGCAGAGGACAGTGTCATCTTTTCTTTCATTTCAGGCAGCAAAACATCATGTCACGGTTCTGCGCTTAAAAGTTATTTTTTACTATTTTACATGCATAATTCTGATTGAAACTGGCCCCATCTTTGCTATCCTTCTGTAGCCAGACAAAGACCTTTTTTTTTTCAAGCTTAGTGATTGGCTGCCAGAGACGGGTTTTTTAATGAAGTGTTGTGCTTTGTTGCTTTTAAATGTATTTGGTGTTGATTTGTTTTTATTATTTTTTGTATGGTATTTGTTTGATCCTTTTAAAATATTTGTTTATTTACTGTTTTTATCTTTCAGTATTGTCTTTTAATGAAGCAAGCTCTTCCTCTCTAAGAAGAAAGTGGTAAAAATATATTAAATAAATAAAATAGCTAAATAAGGGAAACTGTGTTAAGACTTGGAACAAATTGCTGCTCAGCAGTGAAGTGCTGATTGTATTCCCAGTCCTGGACCCAACTGCACAATGGAGTACATGCCCAGGAATGCAACCACCAGCTCTGTAATAATACTAATACTAATACTACTAATAATAATACTAATACTACTACTAATAATAATAATACTGATGATGATGATGTGCTGTCAAGTCAGTTCTGATGTATGGCACAGTTTTCCAAGAAGAGTATACTCAGAAGTGGTTTACAATGTTTTGCCACCAAAATTTGTATAATTTCACTTCCACAAGCAATGCGATTCTGGCTAATGTATGTCAGGAACAGCATGAAGAATGTATTAAGATGCCACTGCCTTTTAGATCAATTTCAAAAATAGCAAAGATCTGTGACTCAAGGTTCCAATCATTTTAACTTTAGCTGGTGGGATATCCTGCAATACTCAACAGGGAGCTTCCACAACATATATTAAGAAGGCATCCAGCTTGTACAAATTCCCTTTTGAATAGTATAAGAAGCAACACCAGTGAAATGTAGAAGAGATTGGATGTTCATACTAGCAGTAGACCATCAATGTCAAACTATGCATGACAGATAACCTTTGGTTAGAAGAGGGGATTTCTTATATGCTTAGAATGTTTAATTGAGAAAAACAAATTTTTAAAGAAAGCAAAAAGGGGGGTTTAATGTTCTCAGCAGCAGCTTTTCACACTTCCTATCATTTGTAAATTAATTGGCTGATTGGTCAATGGAAGGTTAGCATGCTTTGTTTGCAAATAGGATTGCAGCCACCAAGGTCTGTTTAAATCAGATCTCTAACAAATTGCAGTTTCTGAAGACAGGCAATCTGTAATGTATGCCTTGGTTGTTCGGATACCACTCAGATAATGCTACATACTCTATGCTTAAATAAAGTAAATTTAAATATTTTCTTACTCTACTGCAGATATTCTGTAATTCCACAGGTGTAGAGAATGTCGAGTAGAGGATAATCACTGTGGTGCAGCAGACACAATAATGGACTAAAACTCAGGAGACATGTGTTTAAATCTCTTATTGGCCATGAAGATTTCCAGGGGAAGGGTAGAACTGGAAAAGCCACTCCATGAATATCTCACTTACCTTGAAGTCACTATAAATTGGTTCTGACTTCACAATGCATAATATACCCAAACAGAATATACTTAATTGTTGCAAAACTTGGAAAAGTTAATTGACTCTCCTGCTCCACAGGCACTGAGCATTCTATGAACCCTCTGCCCCCTCTAAAAAAAGTTTTTGAAGAGATAACCCTTAGTTTGTTTTAGCACATATAAAGTAACAAAACATCTAAGTCTTGTGTTACTTCTACCATGTTTCCCCAAAAATAAGACCTAACCTGAAAATAAGCCCTAGTATGATTTTTTAGGATGCTCGTAATATAAGCCTTACCCCCAAAATAAGCCCCAGTTAAGTGGAGCCCTGCCCTCCACCATTGTGCAGCATTATGCAGCAACCAGAAGACGACATGACTGTATTTGAATAAATATAGATTATAGTACAATCTAGAACTGACACCCAAAGAAAGATGTTCTTCTGATTATAGGGGATTGGAATGCTAAAGTAGGGAGTCAAGAGATAAAAGGAACAACAGGTAAGTTTGCCTTGGAGTTCAAAATGAAGCAGGGCAAAGGCTAATAAAGTTTTGTCAAGAGAAGAAGCTGGTCATCACAAACTCTTTTCCAACAACACAAGAGGCGACTCTACACGTGGACATCACCAGATGGGCAATACCGAAATCAGATTGATTATATTCTCTGTAGCCAAAGATAGAGAAGCTCTATACAGTTTTAGCAAAAACAAGACCTGGAGCTGACTGTGGTTCTGATCATCAGGTTCTTATAGCAAAACTCAAGCTTAAACTGAAGAAAGTAGAAAAAACCACTGGGCTAGTCAGGTATAATTTAAACCAGATCCCTTATGAATACACAGTGGAAGTGAAGAACAGATTTAAAGAACTAGATTTGGTGGACAGAGTTCCTGAAGAACTTTGGATAGAGCTCGTAACATTGTACAGGAGGCAGCAACAAAAACCATATCAAAGAAAAGGAAATGCAAGAAAGCAAAGTGGTTGTCCAGTGAGGCCTTACAAATAGCAGAGAAGAGAAGGAAAACAAAATGCAAGGGAGATAGGGAAACGTCAAGAAAATTGAATGTAGACTTCCAAAGAATACCAAGGGGAAACAAGAGGGCTTTCTTAAATGAACAGTGCAAAGATACAGAGGAAAATAACAGAAAGGAAAAAAACAGAGATCTGTTCCAGAAAATTGGAGATATTAAAGGAAGCTTTTGTGCAAAGATGGACATGATAAAGGACAAAAATGGTAGGGACCTAACTGAAGCAGGAAACATCAAGAATATACAGAGGAGGCAAGAATACACAGAGTGAAGCAGGAGACATCAAAAATATACAGAGGAGGCAAGAATACACAGAGGAATTATACCAGAAAGATCTAGATGTCCTGGACAACCTAAATAGTGTGGTTGCTGACATTGAGCCAGACATCCTGGAGAGTGGT